GACCTTGTAGTAAATGTTGGCGGGGCTCTGCGGGGGCATCTCCTGCACTATGTACACCGGGTGCCCGTAGTCCCCGCTCACCTTCTCGTAGTGCGGGCAGAAGACGCTGTCCGCAGTCCTGAGCGGGATGATGATGTCGCTGGGCTCCGAGCCGTTGTTGTTGCCGCCGCCACCGCGCTTGGGCGTGGCCAGGGTGCTCAGAGACAGCGTGGTCGTGTGCTGGGGCGAGTGCTTGCGGTGCCGGCGGCGGTACTTGAGCAGCAGGACCACGAGCGTGATGATGATGACGATGAAGATGATGCATCCTGACGCTATCCCTGCAAATAAGGCCACTTCGGAACCGAGGAGGTTGTTCCCCGAATGTCCGGCGCTGTTGCCGTCTGTGCTGGAACCTGGGGACACGCGGGGAGAGGCACAGACAGGGTCAGCACCAGGTACCGCCGCAGGGACGCTGAAGGAGGCCCAGAGGGGTGAGACAAGCCCAGACCGCCACCACACCAGTCCAGACGGAGGGCTGGGAACAGAGGCTCCGCAGGCCCCTGAGCTGCAGAACGACAGGAAAGTGTCCCGTGTGTGTCTGAGCTCCCCTTCCCACCCTGACCCGGCTGAGGTAAGCCGCTCGTGGAACCGTCCCCGGGGTGTCTGCCTGGCTTCACTGTCCCAGGTACTTGCTTCCCTACTTTCCAATCACGTTAGAACACGTCTGACTCTCCCCTTCTGGTCTCCTTTCCATAGGAAAAAAAATCTGATGAATACAAAGACTGAACGGTACCCAAAAAATTAAAAAAAAAAAAAAGAATTTAAAAATAGCTAACTGTGCTATTGGGAGACATCTAGTAGAAAGAGACAGATCTGCAGGAGGGACTTTCACCTGCCTAGACACACGACTCGGGGAGGAAGTGGCCCTGCAGGCTGCCACTGCAGGGCAGAGCCAGTGGCTGACCGGCCCCTGCCTTCCTGGGACCAGTTACAAGCAGCCAGCCTGCCACAGAGCTCAGCACCCAGCAGCACAGCAACAGAGTGAGGGCCCCAAGAAGGTTCAACTCGTAAAGCGTTTGTATTATTTGATTTCCACTTAAAATATATTTGGAAGGCAGCAGACACTTGCGCTGAACAGACTGCCAACCCAAATGTTAAGCACTAAAAAACTGGCTGGCATCGTTATATTATCCATTTATCAGTTTGTCACAAGAGTTTGACAGATCTTGTCACTGAAAGTTAGAAATAACAACTTCCCCCCTTGACTCTTGGAAAGAGACAGGATAGTGCTGCAGAAGATAAATCCACACAAGTCCCAGCCGAGCACCACAGGTCTCTAACACAAAACTGCTGACGTCCGCTCACTAGCCGCTAGATGAAAAATTCATTAGCACAGCAGTGAATACACAGCTATTTGTTCCAAGAGTGATAAAGAAATGAAGTTCAATGACAGCCAATCTTCTCTGCTATTTGAAACGCTGGCCAGGGAGCTGTTTAATATTATATGCAGACAATGTGAAAAGAAAAGAGTGCTAGCCACTAGAAAAGAATAGTGTGATGGAGTATTTGAAACTGTTACCATCGAAAATTCAGAAGAGGGTCAGCTCGGCTCTTGGAGGATTACATATAATTAGATGAGGGATTAGGACATTAATTATATATACATTAACATCAGCTTCAAGCTGGCGCTGACAGTGAGCTTGATAAAGCATCAGCCAATGAAAACTGGTCTGCCCAAGCAGGGCTAATAACTGGCTCTTACATCTGATGGATTCTACTCTTCTGACAGTAAGACCTTCCTGGGAATGAACTGGTTTGTCTCAAGGAGTATAATTAATAATGACTCACTGGAAGCCAAGATTACTGACGTCTGGGACAACGAGTTAATCCAACCAGGACAGCAGCACCTGTGCCCTGTTCGGCCTGTCGGGATGCTAGGAATGCGGCACACAGCCCTCCCCGCCCTGGGCCAACTGCCGTACCTGAATTTGGCTTTACAAAGGGACTTGTTGTTGAACTTCTTCCATTTGTACCAGCTTCTAGTTCTGGACGTCTTGTTGGACCACTATTCCTGGTTGATCCAGCAGAACTCGCATCTATATGGAGAAGAAATGATTAATTACAGTCCAGAGAGCCACTGGTGTCCAGCTTTACATAGGTGTCAAGAAGCATGAGCAGCAAAGAACGGAAGACTCTTTATGCAAAGCACTGTGAAACACAAGAATTCCACTTTCCTTCTAAGACAAAATGGTTACACTAGTCATTTCAGAGGCTTAGCTCGTGGGGCCATCTGTGGGAACTACAGGGAAGCTTGCACTTGGCAGGCAAAGTTGCTGCAGGTGACAGTTCAACTCAACTGCGCCAGTTGACTGACTACTAGAGCAATTTCTAATTGAAAGAATAAATCTTTCTTTCTGCACAATAGGTTTTCTCTATGTGAAAAAGGCATGATGAACACAACTCATCAGCAGTCGAGTTTTGGAAAGGAGTAAAACTGCAGAGCTGTGCTCTCCAGAGTCTGGGTGCTTGGGTTTTGAACCAGCTAGGTATTTGGCTTTTTTAAAAGGAAACAGACATTCCATGGCAGCAGACGCTCTGCCTAGCTGAACTTCACGGTGGAGTGATCTCCACCAGAGAAGCGTATGACAGCAAGGGGAGGAGCTCTGCAGAGGGGCACCTGCTCTCGCTCTGAGGACAGGGAGGAAGGGGTGCCCCATCAGTGCCACGCTAGCTGGGGGCTACACCGGGTGACAGTGGCCTCACGGAGCAGCAGATGGTCTTTACCTTGTCCAACTTTCATGAGGATCTTCATGGCTCTTGTCTGGCACACCCCTCCCTCCTGGTTATCCAGGCCCTCCAAAGACCCATTTGATGTAGCTGATTGAAAATAAAATGGACAAAACAAAAAAATAAAGAAAAAATCAGGAAATCAATAAGCCAAGTTTACATGAACATGAAATGTCTGAAAACAATCCGAAAAATAAGAATTCAATCTTAAGTCACACGAGTTTTCTAAAAGCATGGGATGCCGAAAGCTGAAAAGAACAAGAAAAAAGAAATAAAGAGGAATGGATACTGGAAACACTGGCGTATGGAGGCTGCTGGCCCCAGATGTCCGAAGCAAACGCCCCTTCCCGTCCTGTGCCCGTGTTAGAGTCAAGGTAGGTGCAAGGGGGAGCATCTCCCCAAAACCCTGATGCTTTGGGGCCAAACTTGAAAGAACATAGAGTTCATGCAGCAATCTGGAAGCGCCACAATCACCCCAGGGCACCTGCTTCCTCTACTACAGATTTCCTGCTTCAAGAACAATTAGCTTGATGCTGTTTGTCAAGCATCCAAGTTCTGTAAACACCACAAGGGGAGCTTCCCACACCCCATTTTTCTTTTTCTTCCTTCAGCCTAAAACATGCATCAGAAGGTACACTGGAGCCCAGGTCTTCCAAGTCTGACTTCTGCCCTTCCTCTCGGGGGAAACCTCCACCGAAATTTCCAACCACGCTGCAGGAAAGGTAGGAAAACTCTGCTGGGGAGGAGGCTGAACACAGGGCCACCCCGCCTCCAGGGCTGGGCCAGCATTGCTTGCTTCAGCAACCAGATTCCCATTTTGCCTTAGCAGGGCAGGCCAGGGGAGGGTGGAGCCCTTGTATCCTTTTCAGCCTGCTTTTTAAGCCGACTGCTTTATTTAAGCACAGTGCTGCCTGTCTCTTGAGGCAGGTGAGTTTTCTGAAAAGCTGTGAAACTAAAGCTGCAAAGAGGTAGCTGGCGGGCACTTTTACCGAACTGTGTGCTTTCAATCACACTGCGGGTTCCAGGAGGAGGAGAAGGGAGCCTGTGGGACGCCATGTCCCGTGAAGGCCAAGGGGTGAGGAACAGAAGTGTTTCATATGCACTTCTGCAACTTGAACCATCTTCCCCTCTGACTACCAAATGTTTCTCCTGATGGTGTACTCTGAAATGGCACAGGTGTTCTAGTTGAAAAAAAAAAAAAAATCCGAAAGACACTCTTTTCTTTTAGCCAGGTTATTTTGTTTTCCAAACAGGAGGGCAGCAAACAAGTGTTTGGAGTATAAACAGGCACTCGGCGAATGATTACATAGCTGAAAAAAATGAGCCTTGTATTTACTAGTTTGTGTGCTTGAGTTATCAACTTCTACTTTCCCTCTGCCTTAAAAACAAAAGGTGCCTCTTCTGCCTGTGAGCAGCTCCTTGCTTATCTGAGAACTGCTCAACTATACATCTCACAACTTCTCCTGTGTCTGCACTTGCTCACGCTAAGCTCTTCCTGGGAAAATAGGCAACAGTTGCCACAACAATATTTTTTGGTGGTGGTGGGGTAACCAGGAGATAGTCTGCTTGGATTGGAGACAGTGTTTAGCAGACAAGGAAAAGTGAACACCTAAAAGCTCCGCCTAGGACTGATCCTTGGATTTCCCTTTCCCTCCTCCACCTAAGTGGCCACATTTCAAGGTATCCTTTCCTCCCAAAGACTTCACAGTGCAGATCCCCATGAGCAGGCGGTGCTTTGGGACAGTCTCAGCACAGCTGAACCTTCTTCGCTTCATTGTTTGTAGGGTTTTCTCCCTCAATTTTTCAAAAAATTAGGATGTCTACCGGTAGAAAAAGGCGGAAGCTGGCCTGCACGAGCTTTTGCGAGCTTAATCGGTTCAAGCAGAATCGGCAGCTCTATGCAGGAGTGCTCTAAGGTAACTACAATTTTCCTGCTAAAAGCTCCAGTACTTCGCTGGTAACTGACAATGTGGTAACTGAAAGGCAGGGCACAGAAAACAAGAGGAAGGAAAAGGGATTGTTTATGTGAACATTGAGGAAAAGAGATTCAGACTGAGAAGTAAAGAAAGTTAAGGGACATGAAGAAGCAGAAGGCCGCTATGTGGAACTGAGTCACTTCCAAACCTAACCAGCCTGAGCTGCATGTGCGGGGGACCCCCGAGGACCGCCAGCAGCCCCGGAGTGCGCCGCAGGATGCTTTTCTTTTAACTCCGAGGTCAATGCCTTTTCGGAGGTGCCCAGCTCCCCAGGCTGACCCCAAATGATGTCCAAGCAACCCCAAAGTATAAGGAACCCACAAGCGTTCCAGTTAAACGTCAATCTGTAATAGCGTCCCTGACAGTAAGGCAGGAAGAGGGAGACTGTGCCCCTGAGGAGGAAACTGTTGCACCTTTCAGAGTTTTTCCTCCCTAGTTAACAAGGTGGGGCTGGGGTTCAAGTCCTGAGCGGAGGAAGGAGGTGGACAGGAGCTGTGGGCTGGGTGGCTGGGCGGGCACGGGGGAAAGGGGCAGACTTCTATCACTAATGCTAAAAAAGCACCCACAGGGCCCGGCTGCCCAACAATGGCCCGCACCACAAACGACCATCCCATGTACCACTGGGAAGGACGCTGGCCACAGAGGAGGAGTGGTCCACATTGCCACAAAACCCCCTCTGTTCAGACACTGTTACTCCCCGAAACCCGGAAGGCGATCCGTACAGGATCCTGACAGCATTCCGAGTGACTTCAATCTCATTCTGATAGAAATATCATTTCCCATGGTGAAGCCAGCTTCCCTCTTCCCCACCAGGTTCTGACTGCAGAGGCCGCCGCCCGAGCTGCAGCAGTGACCCTGCGGAAGAATGCTGTCCTGACTGTGCCTCTTTCCTGGCAGTAACCTATGGAACACAGCCCCACGGTGACATTCCGCTTTCTCCTGCCACAGGCCGGGCACCCAGAAGCCTTAAAAGGCCTAGCGGCTGATTTGGAAAAATAGCGAGAAAATGGCTAATGCTTGGGACTAATATCTATTTCCATTTCAGGAGACAATTTTGTGATTATTTTTATTGTTCATTTGAAAGTCTTGGGAATTTTTAACTCAGAGAATGAGTAAAAATAAATTGTCACCTCATTACGTGGAATTTTTCTTTGTATGTCTGCACCAGCATTATCTAAGGCAACCATAATCATAGTATTACTAAATGGATAAAATTGCATTGAAATCACTGAGGGAGAGACAGGAAAAAATAACATTGTTGTAACTAAGCTTTTAGTGCCCAGGCACTTTTCTTCCCTTGGCTCAAGGAGGAAAAAAATAGCCTTTTACAATTAAAAACTACTTAGAAGAGTTTCTCCATCTAGTTGGGAGGTAGGCTTAGTAAAGATACATGGGCATTTTGCAGCCTGCTTTTAAAAGCTTTTGCTCCAGGGGTCTAACTGCATGTTGCGAGGAGTCCCTGCTCGTCCCCAGGGCCTGACTTCCTGGGGTAAACGTCCCTGCTTAGTTAAAAAGCAACCGGGAGTCCACACCTCCCAGCTGCCAAGCTCATTGTGGGCCTGTTCACCCTGGAGAAGGTAAACTGAGGAGGGCGGGAGAAGGACCCCTGTGGGCACATGGGGCTGCATTCGGATACAGGAGCTGCTCCCCAAGTCACTCAGCTACAGCTCTCCATGGGGCTGTGCTGGGTGGTTGGGTTGCTAAGAGACCGCTTATTAGATCAAGAATCAAACTGCTCAATTTGGACCCTTATGTGGGCTTAATTCACAAGGGTTAGGAAAGAAGGCAGCAAAAAGAAAAAAAAGGGAGCATTCCTATGACAGACACTTGTTAGGTTCTCATGGAACGAGTGCAATACCGAGGTATGTAACACTTGGGAGGACACTATTCCGAAATGTAGCTCACTGGCATGGGAAGGGCTTACCGGTATGGAATGGTCACTTAAAGCAAGTTTTTCTATCAAGGCATTGAAGAATTTCACCAAATCAGGATAGATAGTAAAGTACACAGGGCCAGGAAAACCCAGAACAGTAACAATAAAAACCTTATCTGCACACAAAGCTGGACTTAACTCCCTCTTCGTTCAGTCATCAAGCAGGCATTACAAGAAAACCCGTCAACGTACTCTGCTTGCACTGTTCCGTCCCACTGGCCAGCCCTGTAATGTGGGTTTTGTAGGCACACGTCTCACACACCCGTTTCCCTGCTCTCCACGAAGGCCTCGGAGCAGTCAGACGCCTGGGGTGTGGTGAGGCTGGGGACCAGGAAAGGGCCGATTTCAGCGAGAAACAAAGCTGTGACCCTGAAGTCACTCAGAAGCGGGACACTGTCTGCTTCTACCAAGGGTTGTGAACCTTTGTGGGCAAGGGTGGGAGTTGGGAAACAAGCACGGTGATAAAAACATAGTTGGGTAATACCAGTATACAAGCCAGGAAGCTAACACCCATCCACCGATCCACATCTCGATCCAGATTCAGAGAACGTTGTGTGAACTCAGAAAACTGTTCTAGAACTCATGGTGGCCATAGGCCTTGACTAGCGTGGTCATCATTTAAGATACTAATTCAGAAGGAGGAAGGTCAGAAACGTGGAAATGGTAATGTCCAGAAGAAGTCAAAAAACAAATGCCTGGTTTTTGAAAAAAAGTTAGTTAACAAAACATGGATAATGTGCCCGGAAGGCGAGGGAACATTCACTTCTGGCTGACCGAGGACTGCATCATTCTGGCCTTCCACGGGGCTCGGCGTTGGCATTTGCCTTTAAAATAAAATAAAATAAAAAAATCAGCATCACTTCAAATCCCACAGCTTTTCATCCTGTAATGCTATCTGCCTCATCTTAAAGGCAGTGCTACAATACACTTCGTAGAGTGGCCACATCCTCAAAAAGAAGGAAACAATGTGCAGACCTGCCCTGGATGGGACAGCTCTACTCACATGAGGTAAACTCTGGGAGGATGGGAGGGAGTACAGTTAAAACTCTTATCACCCAAGCTGGCAGCAGGGCGGGGCGTGGGAATCTCGCCCAGGAAATCATTTCAGTGTGATGGGAAGAATCACCTGAATTAAAATCATGTTGCTGTAGTTGTGTTTTGAAATTTTAAGGCAGCAAATC